TGTCTGATAGTTCGACGTTCACGGAACATGGTGAAAATCAGTCTCTACCTTGACTCTTCGATACTCTGTGCTGAAGAAGGCTTTTGACCGCACACTCTCATTTAACCCTTGACAAACTTAGTGTTCATTCGACAGTCCATTTTTTCAATTGTGTTGTTAGTTCTATCGCGTGCGAGCAGTGGGTGATCCTCTTGAATGAAAGTTAAGTAATCTGCCGGTCTTCAACACGTTGATTCAATGGATGGGAAATGGAATGAATGGAAAAATGGAACGATTCCAGTGGATAATTGCCAGCTGAGCCCGAATTAGAGAGTAAAATCAGTAATGCAGAAGAAACGGAAACCAGTACCTCCGTCATCAAATCCGTGCGTGATTTCGTGCCCTATCGTAGCTCCAAGTCCTCCGTAGTTGAGCGCTCTGTAAAATCTTTACATGTTGTTCACTTTGAACGACTGTATATCTGAGGTTGGGTGCAATTTTGAGCCGAAAGACGGCGGACAGGGTGGATTGGTGTTCAAAAGAGTATAAGCACTGTCCCGCAGCGATATCATATATATGGCTCCGATACATATGAGCACAGTCATGAATCTTCTAAAAGATGAAGCCTATAAAGCGCGTACTGGAGCTCGCGATCTTCTTCTATCAGTGATAGCGATACGGATGTACAGTCACAATCGTTCCAACGAAGATTCTGATCACCCACCCCACAACTGATTGGATTCCAAGCCACTTCCCTCCTCCACCTTACTTCCTATCAATTGTAGGCTTATGATTGTAACTAGAGGGTTGTTTTCTTTGATGTGGCAAGTCTATTAAATGTTTACCTTGGGAAGGAATGATGAAAGAAAGGCGCTTGAAGAAAAGCGGCAGGAAATTCTGAAACGGGAAAGCATAACAGGGCCCGCTTCCCAAACGTCAAGTACAGTTGAGCATTGACAACATTGACTGCTTACTTATCGAGTTCGAGGTGGAGTCGTAGTAGGCGTTGACAACTGCAGCATTGAAATCGTACTCAGTTCGATCGACGGGCTTAGAAAGGCGCTTCAAATCAAATTCTATTTTCCATCGTGACAGTTTCTCTACCATCTGACTGTACGAATCCGTTTCTTCTACGGAGAACTGAAAAAAAAATATTCGCTATCAATCCAAAAGCAATTCGAACCACATTACGAAAGTTTGCTCTAGATGTTTATGATTCTCAAGTATCCAGTCAAAATACTTATCTACTAAAGTCAGTATCCTCTCTCTCATAGTCACTAACGTTGTCATAGTAGTTGTCCAGTTTCCTGCTGTTGAGGATGAACTCTGGATACGCGACTTTAATTAACATCTCTTGCAATTTCCCAGAAGCAGCCTGGAACAGGATGTTCAAAAGTTCTCCCAGCAATAGCTGTCTCTACAAACTTCCAACACTGAAGCAGTCTATAAAGCAACTGTGTGACTTTTTTATCGGAGTGCACCCCTACAGTTTGCATGAGCTCCGCGGCTTTTCACCTACGATTTCCATAATGTTGTAGATATGTTCAATTGAAACCTTCGCACATTTTGCCTCGACGACAAGGCTGCTTGATCATGTAGTTCATCATGTGTTACACGATGCTATATGCGTGAGTCTATGTTGTTAAAAAGGATGCGTGCGGTTCTGTAGTCTCATAGTTAGAGCTCGTAGAAAGAAGACAAACGGCTCGTTGTCACA